ATCAGTGCCTCCAACACAACCCAGTCCATGTGCTGCAGTGACCAGTGGTCAGTCCTGGTCAGTTTTACCTAAAGAAGTCCCCAAACCAGGGTTCCAGCTCAACCATGGGGACTTTGGCCTCTCCGATATCCTCTCTCACCACACGAGACACGGTGCTAACAAACCAGGTGTAGTCATCGTATGATGTGAACCTGCAGGAGTTTGTGTTACAAAGGTGATGAAATAAACATTCAATATATTAGGTCTTGTGGCTCCTTTGGCATCATGCAGTGTAAACCTAGACTGTGGATAAGACTCCAATGATACTGGTATATCACACTTAACACACAGGAAACATGGAATGAAGGCCTTTTCATTTTCTCCTTAATCAAAGTGCCATAATATATATTACCAATGCTCTGACTTTACAATTTTAGAATGATTATAAAACATGCGGTTTTCATGATAAAAGTACATCAGCTGATTTGCTTGTCTAGCCCTGGAATTATTTCTTTTTTATCTAAGCATCCTATTATATCAGGCTCAAACCCAATCTTTATGCACATAGACACTTCTAATAGGGCATTCACATTAGAAAGTTAACCGCAGTCGAGATAACTCCAATTGAATCGCGGTCAACTAAACCGAGATTATTTGCGTTCACATTGGAACCGGCAGTGATCAGTTGCGATAGAATTTCAGCAATCGTACTTCCTGTTAAGCATGTGCTCTATCGTTTGGATATGTAATAATCTAACCCTTTACATTTAATTTCTTCATTTCAGATATATGAGTTTACCGCATAACGGTGACAAAAGGTAAACATCCAGTCTTGACCACGATTCGGAGTTAACTCTGATTTAACCCAGCTCCCGATCTGAGTTTATTTCGACCGCAGTCAGGGGTATGTCGTCCGTTCACATTAGAAAAGTTAACCGCTATAGGACCGAGGTCAGGCCTTAACCGCGGTCAAAAGTGCTAGTGTGAATAGCCTATTTTCAACAATGAATTATCTTATCAATTATATCAATCTGAAATTGAAGAATCTAAAATTTTCTAAACTGTTTCACCTGTCAGATATGACCCTGCAGCACTCATGTTTCCACAGCGCCATGACTGTCTTCTCGTCCTTAACGACCTCAAACTCAGTGTTGATCATGCCCTGCCAGATACGGGACAGATCACGCAAGTTAAAGATGTAGTGGAACTTGGCAGGGGTCGGCAACATCTTGATCTGGAGAGGAAGGATGAAAATAATTATGAAGCTTGGTTAACATCCAGATGACACCTCTGACATGAAGGATTTATTGATTGTATAGAAATACTGAGAACTTATTATATAGAGAAGACTATTCAGAAAAATAAAAGATGTGAATGACAGTTAACATATCCACCTGGGCAAATTTTAGTTTGATTGCACAAATATTAATAGGCACTTAATAAAGCAAATTTGTTTATTGTACTCAATAGAAACATGGAAAAGTCATCAATTGCAGAAAAGACGTTTTTAGAATAGCTGTTAGAAACCATGTGAGCACCAAAATTTTACTGACACCTACCTTAGTGAGCTGCCAAAGTCGTCTTGTTACAGGCACCAATCTTGCAATCAACTTCCTCACAGCCTCCGAGAACCCCCTTTCCTGGCAGTAGTGACCCTCGCCAATACAGCTGAAGATTTTGTCAATGGACGGGTTAGAAGGCAGCGTGCAGTTAAAGATGGTGAACTGTCTCTTCAGACGCTGTGGGATGTCGTTACGACCACCACCAGGGTGAATCATGGCTGCCAAGAACTGGAAATAGAGGGAGCCACAAGAGAGTGAGTATTCTGGCATTTATGAAGCTGTACAATGCAGTGACTGGTCTCCTTTACTTTGATGAAATATGAGTGAAAAACTATTATTCCTGTGTTTTTGTTTTTCTTTCTTATCACAATAACTCAGATTTTTGTGTATACTTTTTATTTGTACTGTGTTTTGTTGTCAGTAAATGTCTGCAAGTGTACGTGTACATGTGCGTGTGTGTATGTACATGTGTGTGCAGATATAAATTAAGATGAAAGTTGGCATTATATACCTGCATGTCCACAATGGTGGTGAAATCTCCAGGTTTCTCCAAGCTGTAGAATCCTTTCATCTCCATCAACTGGCGGACAATCTCATTGGCTACCTGATCTCCCCACTCGTTGATGATTGGCATGTTGACGTCATCAATGAACACGCTCATCTTCTTCCCTGCCGGAGGTCCGTAAGTGCTGCCCATTCTCTTGTCTACATAACTCTCCACTGTTCTCTGCGGGAAGTAAGGTCAATAAAGAGGTTATTTTCTAATTTGCTTTTTTTATTATCTGGTATAAATCCTATTTGTTTGTAGCATTTTGCATAGATATTGGTAAATGTAATATCTTGTACCTAGTTGATAATTTTGTCAATATTATATAAATTTTTTGACTTTTACTCAAACTAATATACAACCACTATGAAAAGTTAAATTAATCACCATTAATTTTTTCTACACTCCAATGCATAAAAATGCATATGCATAACTTTTTTAGTTTCTAAATCAAATACAAAAATGTTGCCACAACTTTTTAAAAAAAGTTCTTTATCAAAAGAAATTGCATCAATATTACTATAGAAGGTGACCTGGCAGCTACAAGCACCCTGTAACACCAACCTGGAACATGTAGGGCGTCGTCGCAGATGAGAAATTCAACGACTTGGCCATGTGCTCCTCGGGGTTGTATTTCCCCATGTAGCCATTGATCATGACTGTCTTGGCTGTCCCTTGTTCTCCTATCAGCAGCACAGCTTTCTCCTGCTTGGAGATGGTGTGAATGAGGAACTCAGTACGGACGTTGTCTACGTTGGGGACCAGGATGGAGCCGTACTCAGGGGTGGTGTCTGGAGGGTAATGGTACGGTTCCACTTTGGTGTTCCAGTGAGACCACGTGCCTGGAAAGAAGGAGGACATATTGTTATCATAAAGTAATTGATTTGTTATTGTTAATTATACTTTAAATTAAGCCTGTCTTAAATTGTGTTTTATTTTGCCAAATTTTATTTATAATTTTGTAAAATCAGCAAAATGGCTGGCCTGTCAAATCTCACCATTTTCCTCTACTAAGAAATCAAACATGGTGGAATCTGGGAAACCATCAAGGTTTGGTAGATCCAATCTTATCTCTTCATTGTTGCGTAGGAATTCCTCCATCTTGGCTCTGTCGTCCCACTCTAGGTAGGCGCCAATGCTCCACATGAGTGTAAAGACGTACAGGTGCTCGTAGTGTTCCTTGGACAGTGTCTGTTTGTCTTCTCTGTTAGGGATGAGTCCTTGGAGGAGATTACAAGCCTGGAAAAATACAGACACAGAGCTTTGTATTGCCCCCATCTTTATCTATATTTAAAACGAACTGTTTCTGTTCTTATGAAAAAATTCATAAACCTGATCTTTCAGTGTGTTGTATTTGTATGTGCATATTGTACTTGCTGGGTCGCAGTCATTCGCAAAATGTTCCAGCAATTGGTTATCATGCAAGCATCAATAAGGAAATGAAAGCAACTTTCATTTTATCCAAGTTTTGCAGAAGGAAATCCAGACATCAAGGGACTTTAAAAACTGATCATATCCAGAAGTCAACCATTACCAAAAATCCCTCATGAAAAAAGTAAATCATTACTATTAGAATATTATCTCCACTGAGTGTCTGTTAATGTTCAAGATTTGTGTCGTACCTGGTTGATGACAAAGGCCTCCATGGTGTCCATCTTGAAGACCAGATTCTGTGTGGCAAACCTCCAGACCTCTGGGAAAGATGACTCAAACAGCGACATCAGGATACTCGACTCTCCCACTGACCGCGTGTTCAGCCAACCCTGGAGATATCAATGGAGGGGGTATTTTTAATTTATTATGCGGTATTTTTTGTAATTCAAATATATAATAAATAATATCATAAATAAAAATTAAAAAATATGTATGTCTGTATGTTTGAAAATAAATGTACAGTTTAATATTAATAAGACTAGTTTATGTAAAAAATGCAAAATAAATAAATAAATAAATAAATAAATAAATAAATAAATAAATAATCTTACGGAGAGGATAGGGTTCCAATCCATTCCAGAGCTACTCATGTACACCATGCCGTTCCTAGACACAGTGGCTGGAGAGGCATTATCAATGTTGTGTGGCTCAAAGATGATCTTACACAATGTTGCCATGGGGATACGGTCACCATTGGCCAAAGTCAGGGTCTTGTTGTCATCCAGGACAGAGTTCAGGTTTTCAATCCAGATGGCGTCGACTGGACCATCCAAGACGAGCCAGATGTGTTCTCCTGCAGAGACCAATAATCAAATATCACCACATCCTTCTTTCTTTATGAATTAAAGAGAAATAAGCTGAAAAAATATCTTTCCTCACATCAAATTCCATATTTTTATAAAGAGAAAAGCCATTTCTATAAGGGCAAAATATCACACAAAAAGAGAAGTTATCAAAGAGAACAGTTATCACAAGTACCAGTTACTGATCCAGGCCTTCCTTCTGAATTATTTTATTTTCTTCCATTTTCCATTTTAAATCATTATTTGTAATTTTTCATCTTTTTTGTAACTTTGTACCTCCAATCAAATAATAATAATACAATGATATATTAAATGATATTTTTTGAAAAAAAAAAATGGAGTCTGTCCATATCAACCCATCCCTCTCCATACCTTTCTTAGCCCTGTGAGTCCTCCGCCACAGTGTAGAGAAGATACCGTCTGTCCAGTCATTGGTCGCCACATCCAGCCGACCAAACATCTGGGGTGCTGTGATAGCCTTGGGGTTCATCCTCATTTCTCTATGGGGTTCCCCACAGTCTGTCATGGCTTTCATCAGGCTGTAGATACACTTGGTTTTCCCAGCGCCACTCGGCCCCAGTGTCATCATACCGTGACGGACACGCTGGGTCTCAAAGAGCTGGAAAATAAGATGGCAAACTGAATTAATATGAATTCTTAAATAATCAAATGGTTAAATACTCGTTTACATGTTCATTTCTTAATACTCAGTATCAAAAAATATATATATTGTATAATTTTAGTCAACAAGTTTAATTATCATGACATCGTTTCTATCTCAATATTCTAGGCAATCTTACAGTATTTACATGGCACAAATCCCTTAACTTTGATCTTCAGCCATCCCCCAATATCATAAATGATGACTGAACACATGCCCCACCTTCTCACACATTTAAAATGAACTCTGTCCACCCCTCCCACTCACAAACATAAACACACAGTCCCCCCCCTCCCCCTCCACACCCCCCTGAATACCAACCTGAATACACTTGAGGACCCAGGGTGCGTGGTACACCAGTCCCACTTCCTCCACTCTGATCTTCAGGGCGTTCTCCAGCTCAGGGTACCCTGCCTTGTCCAGGGTGATCCCTGGGAACAAGTCGTTAATCAGAGACAAGAACAGTGGCTCGTCCTGATCCACCAGTTTGGACAGGTTCATGTCACGAAGGACACGCATGACAATGGTCTGTTCTGTGTCGTTGGGGTTGGCACGCTTGTTGGTACCCAGGGTACGCAGCACGGAGAGGATGTTACGCAGACCAAAGTCGTAGTGGACCTGGGAAAGATAGAAAATAATTTATGAGAACATCATTTGATATTTGGTTTGGGATAGTAAATTTGCTAATGACAACAGAATGTACATCTTACAAATATTCAAACAATTTTTTTTCATTTTAGTCAGACAAATAAAGAAAGTCATTTCCAATAAACACCAGAAGATTTTATAAACAGAAAAATAATATTTTACACTTTAATTATTCTTATGCTTTTTTATTTATAGGCTAAACATGCACAGAAAAGAAATGTTAGGACCAACAGAAGACTAGAATCCTAAACCCAATGAATGATGGCATCTATCTATCACCTGAAACCAATATTCCCCTCATGCACATTTCATATTTCACTATGTTTTCTTCTATAGTTTATTGACATCAGAGGCGAGTAAAACTACTATAAGAATTTTTAAAATTGTTACTGAAGAAATTTCAATCAATTATTTTATCAGTAGTTGACACATACAGCATCATTTTGATTCAGGTTTTGAGATTTAATAAGACTGAAAATCAAAATTGAATTTCTGGTTATTTGATAAGTAATTCAATAAAATAAAGCAGTTTCAGAAACTGTCTTGATACTTAAAGTTGTTGTTTCATCTGTCTGTAATTGAAAACAACACAAGTTAATGAGGTATATTCCAAAGCTCAAAATCTCTTTTTTGCAACGAGGTTGTCTGCTGTTTTGAAAAATATATATATTAAACTGTTTGTTTTGTTAGTACACTTTAAACTACAGAAAAATTTTACTACTTAACTATGAAAGATGAACACAATCTTCAGTTAGTCAACTGTAATGTATAGTTGGTTAGTAAAAGCAAACTTATGGATTAAACAGTGTGTGAATGTGTGTGCACATGCATGCTCAATTATGTGTGTGTAACAAAAACAAATGAAATTAAATAAACAGTATCAAAAAGATAAAGGATCAAACAGTTAAAGTAAAATACCTGTTTTGTAAGCTGTTCCTCACAAAGTTTATACAGGATGTAGAACTTTCTAGCCAGCACAATGTTCTCTATGAAACCACAGCTGGCAAGCTTGACGCGGATGATAATCTGACGATCCGGTACCATCATGGCGACTGTACGGAAATTGATCTTCAGATTCTCTGGCAGTTCCTGGCGTCCAGCATAACCAGGGTTCTATGAAAGCAGGATAAATGTATTTTCAAAACACATAGAATTACATATGTATCAGACCAGAGGTCAAATTATATAATTATTATACTGGATTTTATGAATCCATTAAAATATCTAAATCCATCCAGAAGAAAAAAATAAATATTAAATTCATAAGAAAACTAATAGGTTAACACAGTGATCTTTGTTACATCCTTTTATTTTTTATTTTCATACTAATAAATAAATACATAAATAAATAAATTAATTAATAAATATCACAATAATCTCCAATTTCTAGCAACCCACCATAGTCAAGAAGATTCCAAACTCAGGGTTCATGTCCACATTGTCTCCATCAGTGAAGATGAAGTTCTTCTTCCTCTCCTTCTTACACGTCAGTACAATGGCGATCTGCTGAGCAGCCACTGACAGCACGGGCAGCTCAATTCTGTTGAACTCGTCAAAGCAGCCCCATGAGCCAGACTGAGCCAAGCCTGAGTAAGAAATAAGGTGGTTAAATTGGAAATGAAATTAAATTTATCTGTGCATGTTAATCCCGTGAAGGTGAAATGACAGGCTTTTGTAGATACAGATAATCATTAATCCAGATAGCAACAGTTACTGCTATAAATCAATTCATTTGAACTTTTTTAAACCAGCAACATTTTCAATGTTTTCCCACCTATAGGACTTGAAGGTTATCATTATCCTTGAAACGGTCTTGAAGACATTGTTTTTCTGTTATCATATACTTATTAATGAGTAATTTTGTACTTATTGCCTTTGTAAAATTACTTGTATCAAAAATATGCATTTACTAAAATCTAAAAAAATGTAAAAATAGTACAAGACACTGGTGACTGTGTCTCGCTGGTTTAATTTCCAGACTAGTCCAGTCTCACCTTTGTAGATACGTCCTAATCCTCTGAAGTCCATCTGATCTGAGCAGTTAAAGACAACCACATATTTCCCCAGACATCTGCCCATATCCTTGGTGGTCTCCGTCTTCCCTGTCCCGGCGGGACCGGCGGGGGCACCCCCCATGGACATCCCCAGGGCCTGGGCTAGAGTGATGTAACATCTGGAATAGATATAGGGGCAGATAGAGTGAGTGGAAAGTCAACAAGGTCAACATGTGAAAGTGGGAGGTCAACATGTGAAAGTGGTAGGTCAACATGTAAAACTACAAGGTCAACATGTGAAGTAAGATCTTTTCAGATGGGAAAAAATGCACATAATATGTGACTTTTAATTTATTTGACAATGTCTTTTTGCAGAACATTACAACATACAGAGAACCTATTTAAGTACTACAATTTGCCTTAAAGCACACAAACACCTAAAGAAAATTTTACCAGTTTATGAAATTTCACTTTGTCATTCACATTTTGAGTTATCAAATTGTCCCAGTGATATACTAACCTATCAGTCAGTGGAGTGATGACAAGTCTCTCTGTGCACCCCAGGAATTCATTCTGGTAAATAAAGTCCACGTCAGTGATAGAGATCAGGGTCTTGTCTTGGTCCTCAATGAAGTAGAAACGCGTCTGCTTCAGCCACTCGAAGTCCTGGGGGGACTTGATGTGCATACGACACTGCAGAAAATGAAATTTTTCGATAAATATAGCCCCAATATTTTTTTTATAAATTAGGTATAATTATCTAGCTTTAAAGCTAAAAGGAATATTATCACATACCTCAGGTTTTTAAACTCAACACATCATTACAAGAATCTCTCAATAATTTATCTATATTTATAAACAATAATCAATATGACGATAGCAACCTACCAAGTCATCAAAAATGTCTCTCTGATGTACATGGATGGTGATAAGGGTCTCGAACTTTGTCCTCTCCACTTTAGTCAACTCCCGTGTCGTCTGTGCAATCAGCAGGTTCAGCAGCTCCAGGAAGGCCTGGTTGGTGCCCGCCATGACTTTCTTGTCGTATTTGGCATTTTTCAGTGCCTCGTCGGCGTCTCTGGTCCAAATCAGCTGAATACCCAAGAGGCCGACCTGTGAAAGGAGGTGTGACACTTAAACACACTGTTGTTATCCAGAATATCAGGAGGAGTGTGCATGCTTGCATGCATACATGTGAGAATTTTCATTTATGACCCTTGTCCCATTCTATTGTTATACTAATCAAATCAAGTGAATTTTCTGAATGTAAAAACTTTTCTAAAAGCAAAATGCTTAACTTATACTGATGATTTTCTTTACCATCATTGGCAGACAAAGTCAATACATTCATTTATTCCTTTCACTTATTTACTTATTTATTTGTTCAGTATAACTCACCTGTGCGGGGAACATGTTCAGGAACTCCAGCAGGTTAAAGCCGCTGTCCTGTATCGCCATGGCAGCAGTTCTGATGACACCGTGGAGAGATTTCTGTGCCATCAACATCAGTGCCATAAGCCAGACCTCTACATTACCTTCTGCCTTCACCGGCTTCTCAAGCTGAAGGAACAAGAGAGAATATTTGATAGCGACAGACCACTAGTTAACAAGACTAGGTTTACACCATGTGATGTAGTCAGATCACACTTTTATGCAGCTTCACACAAAATTTTAAAAAAATATATCATATGGCACAGATCTTATTTGGCACTATATTTTTTAACACCAAAAGTTTAAGCTCACTAATTTTTTTCATACTTATATTCAATATTGATCACTCTATTTGCTATATATCTCAACCATTATTCCAAATACTGTTATTATATAATCAAACATATCGCTGTATGATAATTTATTCTTTATATTATAAGAAAATTTACTTAGACAGGTCAAAACACACTGTGAATATTTTCTAGATAGACGTCACTTTCCCACCCACTCACATCAACTGTCTCTCCCTCTGAAGACACAATAGACAGAATCTGGTCGTAATTCTTCTCGTGGAACTTGACAAGTTTGGTGTTATCAAACACACTGAGGAGATGTGCCTGGATGGTATGAGGGTCGCTGGCCTGACCCAAGATCTCCAGGAGAGCAGGGTCTGACACGAAGAAGAAACGTGGGAACAGCAGACGTTTCTTCTCGAGATAGCTACAAAGTGAAGTTAGTCATTGGTAAAGTATATAATTTGTATTTTTTTATGTAAACTTTTTGTACCTTTTAATATTTCATTCATGCTTATAATGTTGTCACTAAAAATGTACAATTAATATATTTACAATATATCACTCAAAAGATGATAAGGTATTCCAGTTTGACAAAGAAAAACTTTTTGATAGTATACTATCTAATCAAATTTGCAAAAAAAAAATCAAATGAATGTTTGACTGTAAATTTCAAAAATTGATGAAAAATTACAGAAATAAGAAAAGAAGGCAATTCAATTTTTTATTTTATAAAATTATCTAAGAAAGCTGTCTGGTCCATACCCAGTGAGAGATTTCTGGCAAAGTTCCAGTTGTTCCAGCAGATGTGGTAGTAGTTGCATCAGGGTCTCGTCACCAACACAACACTGGATCACATTGGGAGTCTCGTGGGCTCGCTGCATGATGCGTATCCAGGACTTGTCTATGTTGGAGAACCTCTTGGCTTCCTGGGATGTTAAGGATAAAAATAAACATTTTATTAACTGGTGGTAACATCCTTCAGAGTTAGAAAACTCAAGATTACAAACATCTTTTATTTTATATTGAACTACTCTCATTTGGATACTAAAACCAGAAATATGTAGAACCTGTTCCAAGTTTAATAATTTTGGATCAATTCATTCATCAAATACTAGATTAAATAATCACTACTGAAATTCATTATTTTTCTTCATTATAGGTTGATACAATGTCTTTCTCTCTATAGACAGTTGTAGTCCACTAGAATGAAATATTGCACAATGTATTGTTAAAATAAAGAAATTGGGGGGGGGGGGGCAGTTTAGCCAACAGCTCCTTTCCGATAATGGGTTACTACACTTGCTTATTTATCATACGTCAAAGCTAGACCAAATTTGAATCTTCAGTTTCTTTATGACACTGGTATCTGGTACCCACCTGTGGCAGTTGTTTAGCGATGTCACCCCCCACAAAGACGGCCTCCAGGTATACCCACAGGTTCTGTACTGTCATCCAGTTCTCAATGATCTCTGTGGAGTTAGACAGGTTCTGTACCCAGGTCTGGATCTGCTTCTTGAAGGGGGCGTTGTATCTGGGAGAATTGAGAAATAATCAAATTTTTAAAATAAATTGGAGATGGAATTTTTTCCCTTAAATTTCTAAAAACTAACAAACTAATACTTTTTTTCCCTGAAAATTTGAAACCACCTTAAAAATATTTATACCTGGAATTTTCATTTATTCCTTGGAAGAAACTTTTGGTGTAATGGTTATAATTATCTGGCAATAGACAGGTCACCCTTCAGATTTATCCTATTTTCCTACCTGTTGCTAAGCAACGAGCTCAGGATCATCAAAGAATCTTCCATCAGCGCCACAATCTCACTGGTGTTATCACCACGCAGCAGGAGCTCGCCACGGTTCTTGAAGTTACCAAAATGGAAATCATGGCTGTTCCATTCTGCGATGACCTGTTTCAGCTTGGCCTCGATATCCTTCTCCTTCACAGCGGAGATACAGATATCCTGGGGGAGATAATATTTAAAAGAATTTAATTATAGTTTTATACACTGGGTCTGACAAATTTCTATCTATGAAAAATTGAGCACTGATCTAAAAGAACCAAAAACTGTTCCAGTGTAAGAGTGTAGTATCTTTTAAAAATCCAATTTTTTAAAACCAGTTCAATATCAAATACACTTGACAATTGCTTTGGCAAAGAATACTGCAGTAATACTATTTAACGACAAAGTAACATATATAATAATTTACATTTAAGGTCCACAAGCAATTCTGTACCATCTAACACAACATTTAGACCTCCAACCTTAGACCTACCTCAATCTCTTCCTTGTACTTCAGCAGGGGAGCCTCCAGAATGTTCCTTAGAGTAAAGTTCTCATTCTCCACGTCAAATACGTGACCTGTCAGCTCCGCCATTCTCTGCCAATGACGCGGTTTCATGGCTTTGTTTGTCATCAACTCCAGAAGCGGAACCATCTCATTAAAGTCGTCAATGGTCTTACGCAAGTCTTCAAAAGCTGGCCATTCTTTTAGTGCTCGAGGCAGCTTGCGGCATCTGAAAGTAGTCAAGGTGATCATCATCAATGACGAAAAGCCGAAAAGAATAAGATAGAATATAATAAAATAGAATCCTATCCCTCATAATTACTAGAAAAAAAAGCACTACAGAAGTTCTGATTATGTACAATCAGAAACAAAAAATGATTTTTTATAAATTATTTTTTTCAAACATTTTAAACACATCATTGTATTGTATGATAATTTATTCTTTATATTATTAGAAAATTGACTTTGATAGGTCAAAATACACTGCAAATATTTTCCACATAGAGCCATAGAAACCCCAGGTTGATATTATCAGGCATATTCTGTACGTTCCCACCCTGTACTATGATCACCCCAGTGGTCTTACTTGTTCTGAAAGTCCAGTAACTCTGTGTTGATCTTCTCAATGTTCACCTCCTGCCACAGAATGTCGTAGTAACTATTGACTGTTTCTATGACAGCGTTGTACAGGCCATACAGCTTCTGGAGCAGATTCAGCTCCTTTTTGATCTAGAAGGAAAAATAAAAGATTTTTTAAAACAGATGTTGCTTAAAGCATGGTCTACATTTTACATACCTAATTAGAGTCACCAACATCAATTTCAGTCAATTTGAAAAATTATTAGTCTTGATCGACAATGTTACTTCCAATAACCTATTAAAATATAAAATCACTAACCTGATCACTAGACCTTTGTGATGCTTTAACCAGTATGAGATTTAATATAATTCCATATTTATTTAAGTTTATAACAACTGGTCGAGACAAAATTTTCATTTTGCAATCACAGGTTCCTTGTTACACTTTAAGTTGATCTTGAACACCATTTAGTACTTTAAAGACATACCTGTAAGAGTTCTGGGTAGGGTGTGACAGGGAGACCAAAAAGTTCCTCACCCCCTGTATATGTGGTGTACTTGCGGAACAGGGTGTCGAAGCGGTTCTGGAAAATCAGCAGCCTCTCTGACGCCTCTCTGGGTGGAACTCCTGCCACCATGGGGCCAGCCTGGTTGATAAGAGTGTTATTCATTAAATTCAATGCAAAATATTGGAAAAGGAATAATGTGAGGATGTCTACATCTAGTCTGTATATGGGCCATAAATATGTTAGGCATATTTCTATATTGTCATCCATTGTGCGCAGTACTGAGACACTGTGGAGTGTGACATATACAAACCAGTTTTTGCTTTTATTTATTTATTTATTTTTATTTTGAAGGACTTAAATCTCTATTTAAGAACTGAATTAACTTCAAAACTGGGAAAATCACAAATATCATAAAAATCCAACTTGTGTAAACCCAAGGAATAAAATTGTTTGATGTAAAAGAAAGTCCAACTTGTATGACAGTCTGTGCAGAAGCAAGTCATCAAATAATATTATCTTTTAAATCCTTCTATATGTCTTTAAACCTTTTTCATATATTTCCATGACTTACTGTGGCGTAGTCCCCATAGAAGTCCTTACAGTCCTCAGCAAAGACCTGAACATTGTCGATAAGTTCACTACGGAAGTCTGGTTGAATCTTGACAAGATAGTGCGACATCTCAACGGCCTGTGCGTTCATGCGCTCCCAGGAGTACCGAAGTGTGTCCACACGCTCCATCTCCTCGCGCTCTACGGGGAGTTCGTGTTTTACGAGCATTGCATAAGACTCCTGTATACAGAGATCAGGGATGTTAGGAAAAAATAAAACATACAGAATGAACATTTTAAATACAAATCAATCAATACTAAGACAGTTGCACTGAAATTCAATTATACCTTAAATACCTTGTTAAAAGTTAAAATGTTCGATTAAAAAATGTATGTTCTTACCATCTTTCTACAGGCTAAAAAAATTATAATCTACATTCAAACAGTTAAAAATTTTATCATTTCCATAGTTTTTTTACCCTGAGGTATGACATTTTGACTCTTCATCAAAGAGCCTTGTCCACATGACTGACATTTAGTCACACTTTAAAAACGAGTTTCTTCTTTTATCATCATAATACAAGTACTTTTTTCACATTCAAATACTACAAATCTATAAACAAACAACAAATTACCTCAATGGGCCCGATATTCATGTCCAGTCTAATTTCCTTCTCCCGAATTTCTTTCAGTCCCGCCATGACAAAGCGGATATCATCCAGGTCTTTGATTGGTCGGCTCAGCCTCTTGGTGGTTTCCTCAATGAAGTCGAAGATCTCCTGCATTTCTGTGGCATACTTGTGGTTGCAGGCCTTGCCGTAGTGTATCCTCCAGGCTTTGGTCTCGGTGGTCAGACCAAGCTTGAGTTTTTCTGAAAATTAGATACATTGGAATTATATTCATATACATATAAAATCACAAAACAGTACAAAATAACAAGTTAATTTGAATGTTTCAAAATTATTTAAAGTTATTTTTTAAATAATCTTATTTTTCCATTTTTTCAGACAGGCCAATGCCAGAAGTAATTGCCTGATGTTTTGAGTAACTGAGATATCAAATGGCTATCGTATCACTAAATGCATATATTGAAAATAATGATTACTTTTACAATTACAACATTCTTTTCATTCCATGCAAAATAGAAACACTCAATTATCAAAATACAACAGATCCTCTTCACTGAAAACTGTGCTGCCCCCTACAGTCCATTTCTTGCTGACTTACCAGTGTACAGAGCAATGGCGCCCACATCATAGAAGTCTGGCTCAGCATTCACCATGGCTTCCAGCTCATTGTAGTGTAAGATCTTTGCCTCAAACTCGGACAGTTTTGGCTCCTGTTTCATAAATTCTTTCAGGTCTTCCTCCATGTCTTTCTCCCAGATCACATGGTAGTGCTTGAAGGTGTCCAGGGCAGTGGTGATTTCCTGGGGATAAGAACAGATTTTTAGATTTTTTTCTTTCTCTTTAATACACCAAGATAATATTTTTTAACATAGTTTCTTTTTTTTTTTTACAACCTCTTTCATTAATTTAATGCAGATAAAAAAATATATATTTAATTGACTGTTATTATCTTACATGTTAAAGCCATTAAAGAATTAAACAAACTATAAAAATTTAATGTTTTTATATATGTCATTGATATTATTATTGATATATACATGCAATGATATTAAAAATTATCACCATAAAATAATTAAAAAATGAAAAATTGAATTTTATATTAGTAAAATAATTCGAAAAATAATGCATATACAAAAATAAAGATAATCAAATAAAGAAAGACAGTACCTTCTTGGTGGAGTTAATGGATGTCTGGAGCAGGCCCACCATCTTGGCTACTTCTTTGTTCTCAGACACCTGCTTGTAGTAGTTCTTAGGCTGCTGTTGAACGGTCAAACTGGTCATACTCTCCCCTGCTTCCAGCCGACCACGGCTACCTCGTCGCCCACCAGCTCCCACATGTGACACCTCGGACGCGGCAATGCTCCCTATGCTTGATCTGCGGTCGTTATGGTGCTCTGAGAACGACCCGGAACGCTCCGTTTTCTTGACCGTCTTCCGACGTTCTTTGCTCCACTGGGCGACGCCCTTAGAAACACTTAGGATGGTTAAGGCCACCTTGTTGACTGTTTGTTGGACCTCGTCCAGAGCTGGCTGCATCACGATGTTGGGAATAGCCAGAACTGCATCTGTCTTGAAGAAAGGACGACTCTTGGTGCTGTCACCCAAATCTGAAATGAGAAATTAAATAAAACCCTACAGAATATGTTGATGATCATAATGTATTATTGGGATAATATACTAAATTCTATATTCATATAAAAATCAAGGATTGTGTTAAATTCTACATTCATATAATTTAGGATAATAACATCATGATATTTCATCAAAGTTATAAGTGTTTTCTTAGTGTGTGCACAACTGTATGTTTCTGCCAACAAATGCAGGGATCATGAAAATATGTCCTAAAATGTCTATACCACTTGATAACTAACAGTCTAATAGTGGAAAAAATAATTTTGAGATATTTCATCAACATTTATACACCTTAGTATCACTTACCAATATAAGACACAGTAGATGATGAAATAATTCTCTTCCTCAGTGACTCCAGGGTGTTTCTCGTCACCTTCAGAAGGGAGTCCAGGTTGCGATGGTTGAAATGGCTCAGGAGCTCCATGGCCGTCTCCTCCATGGATTCACGCATCTCCTTCTTCTTGTTCCTGTGTTTTTTGGCACCCTGGGAAATGGGACGCTGGGAGCCCTGGCGACTTCCTGTCTGGGAGGACCTGGACGGAGTGGGGCTGCCTGCTCTACTGCCCTTCTCACCTGTAGTACAAGCAATAATAAATAAATAAATAAATAAATAAATAAATAAATAAATAAATAAATAAATAAAATAGGAAAAGTGATTAAAGATAAATAACAAAATATAACAAGAACAACAGTCAAGTAGTATCCACAATAAAATCCACATTACTACTTATAATCAAACTATTAATAAGAATCATAATTATATCAAAACAACAACAATGATGACAACAGAAGCAATGACACTTATAATCTCTACTGGCTGTGGACAGGTAAACATAAATCTCACCATTCTCATCTTTATCCTCATCCTCCTCTGGCTCAGCCTCCGACTCCTCAGGGCCGAAGTCACACAACATGTTGATGAGTTCGTTGGCCGCGTCTTCTACATTGATACTCTTAGAATTGAGAGTGAGGGCACCAGCACTGCACAGTTGCTGGATAAAGTAATATTACCTTATATATGTGACTAATTATGATTAAGAACCAAACTTTGTTTTTTTTTTCTTATACAAACGCTTTACATGGTACTCTTTATTACTTTTATTGTTATTTTTAGAATTATTTTACGAAATTCCAAAATTTTTGAAAAAAATAATGCAGATGAAAAAATTTATGAAAAACTGACTAACAATGGAACATATATGCACACCCATACATAAACACCAACAAAAACGCAATAGTAATACAAACACACACACCTGTGTTCTTTGCATGAATTCATCCACAGTCCACGGTACTTCATCAGGGAACTCGCAGAGAGTCGTGGTGCTCATCTCGTGCAAGATGGCGTCAATTCTGAACTCTGTGAGATCATTTGCGCGGTCTATCAGGAGCTCCAGCTCTTCCAGGGCTGCATAGACATCTTTGACAAATACTAGAAATAAAGAGAATTACCTGATGAGTTCTCAGGTCTTAATTACATTTCTTTAATTACATCTCAAAGTTGTGAAAAGATACCCAATTATCTAATAATTCACTCTTAATAAAAATTAAGGCGAAATTTTGTGATAATTTTCATTTGGATTTGGCATTAATAAAAGCAGCCTTTACAAGCCAAATATCAATCAACCTTTACATTCTGCTGTCATGTTACTTGTTTAATGCATTTATATACTACACAATATGGAGGATATATGAAAATAATAAAATGAATTTAAAAAAAAAGAAATAAATTCAATATTCTGTGTAAAGATGACCAGGTCTTACAATCAATGTTCATGGATGTCCAGGTTAGAGTGGTCAGACCAGGTTCAATCACATCGTCCACTTTGTTGGTGTGGGGGGTCATCAGGGGCTCAAACGACGCAGGGATTTTATCTCGAACACGCTTGTTCTCTGCCAGCATCAGCTAAATAAACAGTAAGATACAAGTTATTTAAAAATAAAATTTTTTAAATGGCAAATTTCACTGAGATTTTTGTCATACAAAGCACACAATTTTATCCACATTAACTTTTTTAATTTGCATTTGTCAGAAAAAAAAAATGTCTGAAAGATTTTACACTTTAGGCAAAAATACAGATAAATTGTAACATAAAAAGTTACCTGTGATTTTATATATAAAAATATATTGTTTTAAAGAAATGCAAACTGTACAGAAATAAAATGAAAAGTTTTTACGTGTATATGAAAACTTACAGTCAGCATGTTGTAATTCTCTTTGAACTGCTCCTGCTTGGCACGCAGATTTTTGGCAGCAGGAGGGATCTCCAGTCCCAGGCGCACCATGCACTCCGTCTCTCTGATCAGTGTGATAATTTGGGGGTCAAAGTTCACGTAGAGCTCTTGGGTCTCTGGGTGACGTACAATGAGGGAGGCTTGGAGACCAGACTTGGCTGCCTCCACCTGATAAGACAATTAGAAATATTTATTCATCTATTAATTTTGGTATTTGTGTATTTTACAATGACTATGATCCAACTAGTACTAGCTTAATAAGCACCTTGCTGGGTTAGAATAAAGTTCCCTCTCCATTCTCTTCACTTTTGGCAAGCTTTTAACTTTTTCTGTCTCCTATGTGTTTTATTTTTGACAACAGGATTTATAGACGTGTGCATAAACACATCAAGATGGAAGCATTGTACACTGCAACTGCCAATATCTCAAAATAGCAAAAAGTGAGATAAAACATTATTATTCTCACCTAAAGATAAATAACAGAAACCAATGACACAACATTGCACTATTCTTTCATTTATATCCTTTCAGTTAACTTGACTAGAATGTCTTTATTAAGTTGTTTATTTCCCACTCACCTGTCTAATCCATCCTCTGTGATATAGGACCTCATACTCCAGGAGCACTTTGGCCAGTTTGTTAAAGTTTTTGATGATTCTCTTGGCCTCAGGACCCTGCAGGATGGTGGGGTGCTGTTGGAACACCTCCATTGGTTCCTGGATCCTACGATATAGCTGACGCGCCCACGCTATCTTACCTGGAGGAGATGGGAGTAGTTTTATACAACTGGATTGTCATTATTTGTACTTATTCATTATCATGATTTGTAAAGTCTTAATTGTTTTTTTTTACCTTCAACGAATAAATAATTTATGTTATTACTCATGATTGTATGAATTATAAAAAAATGAATGTTAGGGACAAGTCTGTATTCTGAAAAACATTGTTTTATAGATGTGTCTTTAAGTTAAGGTTATAACTATTCACATGTATATCAGTTTAAGTGTCAGAACATGCAACATACAGTTATTTTTCAGTATAGTAGGAGAATTTTTGTTTGCAGAACGTAAATGCTTGGCAAGGTACAAAGAATACAAAGCATCTGATAAAATTACATTTTTCCATTCAATAAATTTGTAATTAATAGCATGTATCCATACCTGCAATTGGTGGGAGATCTCTACCAATAGGAGGCTCTGTCTTATCTCTCTGGTAGGATTTTGAAACACTTTCAATATCTCTGCCGTATTTGTTGAGAATCTTGGCATATTTCTCAGGAATTCCCAGATTTGGGAGATTTAGGCGCTCAAATCTCCTCAGCATCCACAAAGCTCTCGCAGTGCTGGTTATCTTCTCAAAACGTTGGTCCATGAACATGATGATACCGCTCTGAAATATAGAAAAAAATATGAAAATCATTTTAAAAATGACGAATAAACTTGCTGATTTCAGCCATTTAATTTATTTATCTAACTTTATAACATTACCTGTGGAAATCAAACTATTCAAGACTAGCAAGACTACTCGTAAAAGGGAACTATGTTTACTATGATTTATAGCTATAATTGATTAACTGATGCCTTAAATAGAACAAAAAGGATGCTGCTCATGTAAAAAATTAAAACTTGAAGAATAATTTTTAAGTACCACATGTCCAGTTAAATAAAAACTCACATGAAGTTCTTGAATTTGTCTCTTGAAATCTTCAAAGTCCTGGTCAAAGTCCATCTTTCTCTGGTCCAGGTAGTCGTATGGCTTCTTCTTCAAGGAGGTCACAATCACACTGAACTTGTTGGCCATGATTTCCATACCTGAACAAAAAATTGGAGAAAAATGGGTTGTTTCATTAGTGAAAATATATTTTAGGACTGTTAAGGTCATCAGCCATGTACAAGTGTTATCTTGTGAGAAGTTCTCTTAAAGCAAGAAGTGAAAATTCCATTGAGTGTTACCTTTCAGTTGTCTTCTTATTTGGCAGAAGAAAAACAATTCTTTTTCGAAAAAATTCCTCCATAATTTGGTTTGATACTATGATTTGGCTAAAATGATTCATAAATTCAACTGAAATGATTAAAATTTTTAAATTAAATTTATCCTAAAGTTAACCTGGCACATCTGTCCCATAATGATCTGCGTGCCTCACCTTCAATCTTGGACTCCGCCAGGTGTGAGTACATCTCCATGGTGTTAAACATCTCCGTAATCTTCTTCAACCTCCGCGTAAACGTGTCAAACTTCCCAAAGATGTACATCTCCGAGAACTCAAACTGTCTCTCATTTGGCATGGTTTCCAACTTCTGCTTTGTGCGCTGAAAGCATCGCTGGTACTCGTCGTTCAGTTTGATACAGTCCTGGAGCTTCTTGAGGACTTCATCTGTTGCCTGCGTCCATATGGTCTCGATACCCCCACACGTGATGTATCCCTTACAGGCAGTGATCATTTGATTTGTGCACTGAAACAAAAAATAATTTGCATAATGGCAACTGGTATGTATAATTACTCCTGCTCAGGAGATTGTTTTTCCTTTGTTGGTTCGTGAATTAACAACCTTACTCAAAAAGGTATTTATGGATTTTACTTATTTCATCTTAAAACTGACAAAACCTCAATTATACTGCCAATATTCTATTTTTTTCACAGAAAAAGCACTATTTTTGATATCTCACCTTGACAAAGAGGGAGGTCATTCTCTCAGAGGTGTTGTAATACCTTGATATACTGTGAACCATGCGGATAGCATTGATCAGACCTGGGATGGCCTCCAACATTCCAACCTACAGACAGAGAGGGAAATATTTCTATGAAAAATGTATTTGATGAAATTATATGAATGATTGTCTTGATATGTTTTCATTTCACTGACTTGCTCAATGTTGTTCTATAAATGCCTGTATTTCACTGTACTTGCTGAACTGTAATTTTTGTAAGAATGTAGTTGTACCAAATTTTTTTGAAAATGCATAAAAAATAAGAAATTAAGAGCGCAAAATAAAAAAAAATTAATAAAAAAATTAATAAATCAATAAATAACAGTGCCATGTACTCACAGGATCACTGTTATAGAGGGGGTCACAGAACTTGTCCAGGGTGTACAGATATTTGACGTTATCTTTGGCCTCGTTGGCGGCATCTGTTATCCTGCGATCCAACTCTTGCCAAGTCTGGAAAAACCACAAGAGATGTTCACTTTAACAAGACTGAACTTTTAAAAAACTTTATAAAAACCAAGATTAAGATTCAAGTCAGTGTGTTTCAGTCAAAGGTAAAAATATACAAAAGGAACTTTTAATTACAGTTAAGTAACTATACAATCTATTAGAAAATGGAAAGTTGGGAAAACAAGAAAACATTTACTAGTCACCTTTTAACATCTTTTATGTCAGTAACAGTACCCTGATGAAATTCTAAATAATGAAATCACTCTGGCTTTAAGATACAGGGCACTTCAATCAAAGAAAATGTGTAAGACAAGTAAAAGTGACATCGGTACCTTAATGGTCTTAGACTTTGCAGCCTGCAGCACCCCGAGGACGGCCTTGACCTCTGGTCCCTTAATCTGGTCCAGCAGATAGTTAAACTTGGACATTCTCTTCTTCCAGTGGTCCAGTTCAGCCCTCGGACCAATGTCGTCTGCCTCCTTCCTCATCTGTTCACTCTCCGCCAGGACCTACAGATCAAGGAAAAAAGATATAATGAATCTTTAATGAATATATGATTTGAAAAGGAAATATGTTCTTTTAAGCATGGTAAATAAAACATAGTACCCAAGGTTTTTAAATTTATTCTAAAATTGGCTGAGGTGAAGAGTTGATTTTAACAATTATACTATGTCATGTGTCATCAAAAATGTACAGCAAGCTTTTGATTTTGGATATTAGCAAGCTCTTGCATTAAAAGTAAAAAGCAAAAAAAAAAAAAAAAATCACAACATACCAATAAAGATTTTTTTAAAATATACTATTATTTCAATTTATTTACACCAAACAGTTGCAGTCCCCTCCCTCCAAAACCCAAGTGCTGTTACCAATACCCCTTCCCTACCCCTTAACACCCCCTCAGTCCTCACCTGTTCTATCTGTTTTATCCAGACAGCTATGGTCTCTTCTATCCCCTCTAAAGCCTCTGTGCTGTTAGCAATGGCCTGGAACTCGGCCGGGGACTGGATCTTGGACAGGTCATACTTCTCACAGGGAGTAAGGTTCACTTTATCTTCAAGACTCTCCTGGGCTCCTAGGGATAAAAGTCGAGGTTGGATTTAATACCTGATATCATCCCTTAAACAACATCAGCTAGTTCTATAATTCACAATTCACGTGCTAGTACAGATACAAGCAAATCCAAACGGTTCATAAAATGCAATAATTACCTGCCAGTACAGATACAAACGAGTCCAGATGGTTCATGAAGTCTGCCTTGACCATGTCTCCAGTCTTGCCCTCCAGCTGCCCCCAGCCTTTCTCCAGACGCTTCAACACCGGGATAAAGATGGTGGTCAGAAGGTACTCAATGGCCGAGAGCAGGCCACAGCCGTTGGACTGACCATTGGTCTCCATGACTGTGAAGTTGACCTCCTGGAACAAAAGAGTCATTAAATGTTTTATGAACTTTCTGTTTGGAACTGACTTCATAGAAAAAAAAGAATAAAACATAATGATTCTTATAACTTTCTATTGCAATAAAGGGACACACAATGACCTTCTGACAGAAAAAGAATCAAACATTATTAATCAATGCCTTTTACTTTCAGTAAAAATCAGGTTAATATATTTCTCCCATAATTCACANCAGGATAATATTTTTTAAACATAGTTTCTTTTTTTTTTTTTTACAACCTCTTTCATTAATTTTATGCAGATAAAATATATATATTTATAATTGCCTGTTATTATCTTACATGTTAATTAAGCCATTAAAGAAATAAACAAACTATAAAAATTTAATGTTTTTATATATGTCATTTATGCAATGATATTAAAATTATTACTATAAAATAATTAAAAAATGAAAAATTGAATTTTATATTAGTAAATCATTAAAATAATTCGAAAAATAATACATATACAAAAAAAAAGATAATCAAATAAAGACAGTACCTTCTTGGTGGAGTTAATGGATGTCTGGAGCAGGCCCACCATCTTGGCTACTTCTTTGTTCTCAGACACCTGCTTGTAGTAGTTCTTAGGCTGCTGTTGAACGGTCAAACTGGTCATACTCTCCCCTGCTTCCAGCCGACCACGGCTACCTCGTCGTCCACCAGCTCCCACATGTGACACCTCGGACGCGGCAATGCTCCCTATGCTTGATCTGCGATCGTTATGGTGCTCTGAGAATGACCCGGAACGTTCTGTTTTCTTGACCGTCTTCCGACGTTCTTTGCTCCACTGGGCGACGCCCTTAGAAACACTAAGGATGGTCAAGGCCACCTTGTTGACTGTTTGTTGGACCTCGTCCAGAGCTGGCTGCATCACAATGTTGGGAATAGCCAGAACGGCATCTGTCTTGAAGAAAGGACGACTCTTGGTGCTGTCACCCAAATCTGAAATGAGAAATTAAATAAAACCCTAGAGAATATGTTGATGATCATAATGTATTGGGATAATATACTAAATTCTATTGTGTAAAATTCTACTTTCTTATAATTTAAGATAATAAAATCATTACTTAGGATAATAAAATCATGGTATTTCATCAAAGTTATGTGTGTTTTCTTTTTATATGCAGAACTGTATATTTTTGCCAACAAATGCAAATATCATGAAAATATGTCATAAGATCTTCATACCACTTGATAACTAACAGTCTAAGAGTGGAAAAAGTAAAAAAAAAAAATATATATATATATATAATTTTGAGATATTTTATCAAAATGTATACATCTCAGTTCCACTCACCAATATAAGACACAGTAGAAGATGAAATAATTCTCTTCCTCAGTGACTCCAGGGTGTTTCTCGTCACCTTCAGAAGGGAGTCCAGGTTGCGATGGTTAAAATGGCTAAGGAGCTCCATGGCTGTCTCCTCCATGGATTCACGCATCTCCTTCTTCTTGTTCCTGTGCTTTTTGGCACCCTGGGATATGGGGCGCTGGGAGCCCTGGCGACTTCCTGTCTGGGAGGACCTGGACGGAGTGGGGCTGCCTGCTCTACTGCCCTTCTCACCTGTAGTACGAGCAATAATAAATAAATAAATAAATAAATAAATAAATAATTAAATAAATAAATAATTAAAATAGGAAAAGTGATTAAAGATAAATAACAAAATATAACAAGAACAACAGTCAAGTAGTATCCACAACAAAATCCATATTGCTACTTATAATCAAACTATTAATAAGAATCATAATTATATCAAAACAACAACAACAATGACTACAGAAGCATAGACACTTATAATCTCTACTGGCTGTGGACAGGTAAACATAAATCTCACCATTCTCATCTTTATCCTCATCCTCCTCTGGCTCAGCTTCTGACTCCTCAGGGCCAAAGTCACACAACATGTTGATCAGTTCATTGGCCGCGTCTTCCACGTTGATGCTCTTAGAATTGAGAGTGAGGGCACCAGCACTGCACAGTTGCTGCAGAAAAAAAAATCGCCTTATATATGTAACTAATTATGATTTATAACCAAACTTTGTTTTTTTCTTATGCAAATGCTTTACATGGTACTCTTTATTTTTTTTTTTTATTGTTATTTTTAAAAAATCTTTTAAAACTCTCCAAAATTTTTGAAAAAATGATGCAGATGAAAAAATTGATTAAAAAACTGACTAACACTGGTACATGTATGCATACACATACATAAACACCAACAGAAACACAATAGTAATACAAACACACACACCTGTGTTCTTTGCATGAATTCATCCACAGTCCACGGTACTTCATCTGGGAACTCGCAGAGAGTCGTGGTGCTCATCTCGTGCAAGATGGCGTCAATTCGGAACTCTGTGAGATCATTTGCGCGGTCTATCAGGAGCTCCAGCTCTTCCAGGGCTGCGTAGACATCTTTGACAAATACTAGAAATAAAGAGAATTACCTGATGAGTTCTCAGGTCTTAATTACATTTCTTTAATTACATCTCAAAGTTGTGAAAAGATACCCAATTATCTAATAATTCACTCTTAATAAAAATTAAGGCGAAATTTTGTGATAATTTTCATTTGGATTTGGCATTAATAAAAGCAGCCTTAACAAACTGAATATCAATCAACCTTTACATTCTGCTGTCATGTTACTTGTTTAATGCATTTATATACTACACAATATGGAGGATATATGAAAATAATAAAATGAATTTAAAAAAAAAGAAATAAATTCAATATTCTGTGTAAAGATGACCAGGTCTTACAATCAATGTTCATGGATGTCCAGGTTAGAGTGGTCAGACCAGGCTCAATCACATCGTCCACTTTGTTGGTGTGGGGGGTCATCAGGGGCTCAAACGACGCAGGGATTTTATCTCGAACACGCTTGTTCTCTGCCAGCATCAGCTAAATAAACAGTAAGATACAAATTATTTAAAAATAAAATTTTTTAAATGGCAAATTTCACTGAGATTTTTGTCATACAAAGCACACAATTTTATCCACATTAACTTTTTTAATTTGCATTTGTCAGAAAAAAAATGTCTGAAAGATTTTACACTTTAGGCACAAATACATATAAATTGTAACATAAAAAGTTACCTGTAATCTTATATATAAAAATATATTGTTTTAAAGAAATACAAACTGTACAGAAATAAAATGAAAAGTTTTTACGTGTATATGAAAACTTACAGTGAGCATGTTGTAATTCTCTTTGAACTGCTCCTGCTTGGCGCGCAGATTTTTGGCAGCAGGAGGGATCTCCAGTCCCAGGCGTACCATGCACTCCGTCTCTCTGATTAGGGTGATAATTTGGGGGTCAAAGTTCACGTAGAGCTCTTGGGTCTCTGGGTGACGTACAATGAGGGAGGCTTGGAGACCAGACTTGGCTGCCTCAACCTGATTGGATAATTAAAAATATTCATTTCAGATTTATTTTGGTAGTTGTGTTTTATACAATGACTATGACCCAACTAGTACTACATGTAGCTTAATAAACATGTTACTGGGATAGAATAAAATTCCCTCCCTGTTCTCTTCACTTTTGGCAAGCTCATAACTTTTTCTGTCTCCTATGTGTTTTATTTTTGACAACAGGATTTACAGAATTGTGCTTAAGCTCATCAAGGGGGAAGCACTGCACACCGCAACTGCCAATATCTCAAAAAAGCAAAAATGGAAATAAAACATATAATTCTCACCTAAAGATAAATAACAGAAACCAATGACACAAGATTGCACTATCCTTTCATTTATATCCTTTCAGTTAATTTGACTAGAATGCCTTTATTAAGTTCTTTATGTCCCACTCACCTGTCTAATCCAGCCCCTGTGATATAGGACCTCATACTCCAGGAGCACTTTGGCCAGTTTGTTAAAGTTTTTGATGATTCTCTTGGCCTCAGGACCCTGCAGGATGGTGGGGTGCTGCTGGAACACCTCCATGGGTTCCTGGATCCTACGGTACAACTGACGCGCCCACGCTATCTTACCTGGAGGAGATGGCAGTAGTTTTATACAACTGAATTGTCATTTATTTGTACTTATTCATTATCATGATTTGTAAAGTCTTAATTGTTTTTTTTTTACCTTCAATGAATAAATCATTTATGTTATTACTCATGATTGTATGAATTATAAAAAAATGAATGTTAGGGACAAGTCTGTATTCTGAAAAACATTGTTTCATAGATGTGTCTTTAAGTTAAGGTTATAACTATTCACATGTATATCAGTTTAAGTGTCAGAACATGCAACATACAGTTATTTTTCAGTATAGTAGGAGAATTTTTGTTTGCAAAACGTAAATGCTTGGCAAGGTACAAAGAATACAAAACATCTGATAAAATTACATTTTTCCATTCATCAAAATTGTAATTTATAGCATGTATCCATACCTGCAATTGGTGGGAGATCTCTACCAATGGGAGGCTCTGTCTTATCTCTCTGGTACGATTTTGACACGCTTTCAATATCTCTGCCGTATTTGTTGAGAATCTTGGCATATTTCTCAGGAATTCCTAGATTGGGGAGATTTAGGCGCTCAAATCTCCTCAGCATCCACAAAGCTCTAGCAGTGCTGGTTATCTTCTCAAAACGTTGGTCCATGAACATGATGATGCCGCTCTGAAATATAGAAAAAAATATGAAAATCATTTTAAAAATGACGAATAAACTTGCTGATTTCACCCATTTAATTTATTAATCTAAGTTCATAACATTACCTGTGGAAATCAAACTATTCAACACTAGCAAGACTACTCGTAAAAGGGAACTGTATTTACTATGGTTTATAACTATAATTGTTTAACTGATGCCTTAAATAGCATAAGAAGGATGCTGCTCATGTAAAAAATTAAAACTTGACGAATGTTTTTTAAGTACCACATGTCCAGTTAAAGAAAAACTCACATGAAGTTCCTGAATTTGTCTCTTGAAATCTTCAAAGTCCTGGTCAAAGTCCATCTTTCTCTGGTCCAGGTAGTCGTATGGCTTCTTCTTCAAGGAGGTCACAATCACACTGAACTTGTTGGCCATGATTTCCATACCTAGACAAAAAATTGGAGAAAAATGGGTTATTTCATTAGTGAAAATATATTTTAGGACTGTAAGGTCATCAGCCTTGTACAAGTGTTATCTTATGAGAAGTTCTCTTAAAGCATGAAGTGAAAATTCTATTGAATATTATCTTGCAGTTGTCTTCTTATTTAGCAGTAAAATACAATTTTTTTTCTGAGAAAAATTCCTCCATAATTTGGCTTTATTCTTTGATTTGGCTAAAATGATCCACAAATTTGGCTTAAAAAAACCTAAAATGACAAAATTATAATTATCCCAGTAAACCTGGCACATCTATCCCATAATGATCTTCGTGTCTCACCTTCAATCTTGGACTCTGCCAAGTGAGAGTACATCTCCATGGTGTTAAACATCTCCGTAATCTTCTTCAACCTCCGTGTAAATGTGTCAAACTTCCCAAAGATGTACATCTCGGAGAACTCGAACTGTCTCTCGTTTGGCATGGTTTCCAACTTCTGCTTTGTGCGCTGAAAGCATCGCTGGTACTCGTCGTTCAGTTTGATACAATCCTGGAGCTTCTTGAGGACTTCGTCTGTCGCCTGCGTCCATATGGTCTCAATACCCCCACATGTGATGTACCCTTTACAGGCAGTGATCATTTGATTTGTGCACTGAAAGAAAAAAATAATTTGCATAATAGCAACTGGTATGTATAATTACTCCTGCTCAGGAGGTTGTTTTACCTTTGTTGGTTCGTGAATTAACAACCTAACTCAAAAAGGTATTTATGGATTTTACTTATTTCATCTTAAAACTGACAAAACCTCAATTATACTGCCAATATTCTATTTTTTTCACAGAAAAAGCACTATTTTTGATATCTCACCTTGACAAAGAGGGAGGTCATTCTCTCAGAGGTGTTGTAATACCTTGATATACTGTGGACCATACGAATAGCATTGATCAGACCTGGGATGGCCTCCAACATTCCAACCTACGGACAGAGAGGAAAATATTTCCATGAAAAATGTATTTGATGAAATTTTATGAATGATTGTCTTGATATGTTTTCATATCACTGAATTGCTCAATGTTGTTCTATAAATGCCTTTATTTCACTGTACTTGCTGAACTGTAATTTTTGTAAGAATGTAGTTGTACCTTTTTTTTTTTTTTTTGAAAATGCATAAAAAATAAGGAATTAAGAGCTAAAAATAAAAAAAAAATTAATAAAAAAATTAATAAATTAATAAATAACATCTACTCACAGGATCACTGTTATAGAGGGGGTCACAGAACTTGTCCAGGGTGTACAGATACTTGACGTTATCTTTGGCCTCATTGGCAGCATCTGTTATTCTGCGATCTAACTCTTGCCATGTCTGGAAAAACCACAAGAGATGGTCACTTTAACAAAACGGAACTTTATTTAACCCAAGATTTAAATTCAAATCAGTGTCTTTCAGTCAAATATAAAAAAAATATGCAAAAGGATCTTTTAATTACAGTAAAGTAACTAAGCAATCCATCCGAAAATGAAAAATTGGGAAAAAGAAGAAAACATTTACTTGAGAAGCTGACCTTTAAATTGAGATACTTATTTCCAGCTGCTAAAACAGGGTCACCTCTTAACATCTTTTATTTCAGTAACAAGTGACATTCTAAATAATCAAATCACTGGCTTTAAGATACAGGGCACTTCAATCAGAGAAAATGTGTAAGACAAGTAAACATGACATCGGTACCTTAATGGTCTTAGACTTGGCAGCCTGCAGCACTCCCAGGACGGCCTTGACCTCTGGCCCCTTGATCTGGTCCAGCAGATAGTTAAACTTTGACATTCTCTTCTTCCAGTGGTCTAGTTCGGCCCTGGGACCAATGTCGTCTGCCTCCTTCCTCATCTGTTCACTCTCAGCCAGTACCTACAGATGGAGGAAAAAAGATATAATGAATCTTTAATGAATATATGATTTGAAAAGAAAATATACTTTTAAGCATGGTAAATAAAACATGGTATCCAAGGATTTAAAATTATTCTTAACTTGGGTGAAAATACCAGGTGAAGAGTTGATCTTAACAATTATACTATGTCATGTGTCATCAAAAATGTACAGCAAGCTTTTGATTTTAGATATTAGCAAGCTCTTGCACAAAAAAGTAAAAAAAATCACAACATACCCATAAAGATTGTTATTTTTTTAAAAAAGTATACTATTTCCATTTATTTACCCCAAAAAGTTGCAGTCCCCTCCCTCCAAAACCCAAGTGCTGTTACCAATACTCCCCCCCTTTAACACCCCCTGAGCCCTCACCTGTTCTATCTGCTTTATCCAGACAGCTATGGTCTCTTCTATCCCCTCTAAAGCCTCTGTGCTGTTAGCAATGGCCTGAAACTCTGCTGGGGACTGGATCTTGGACAGGTCATACTTCTCACAGGGAGTAAGGTTCACTTTGTCTTCAAGACTCTCCTGGGCTCCTGGGGATAGAAGTCAAGGTTGGATTTTATGTATCTATTAAAAATAATCAGCTGGTTTTATAATTGGTAATTCGTTTTTATGGATCTGTTCAATAATAAGTCATAAAAATATCTTAATTACCAGCCACTACAGATACAAATAAGATCAGATAGTTCACAAAATACAAATTAATCCCAAATACAAACAAATGCTGCAATGATAATTACCTGCTAGTACAGATACAAATGAGTCCAGATGGTTCATAAAATGCAATAATTACCTGCTAGTACAGATACAAACGAGTCCAGATGGTTCATAAAGTCTGCCTTGACCATGTCTCCAGTCTTGCCCTCCAGCTGCCCCCAGCCTTTCTCCAGACGCTTCAACACCGGGATAAAGATGGTGGTCAGCAGGTACTCGATGGCTGAGAGCAGGCCACAGCCGTTGGACTGACCATTGGTCTCCATGACTGTGAAGTTGACCTCCTGGAAGAAAAGAGTCAAATGTTTTATGAATTTTCTGTTTGGAACTGACTTCTTAAAAGAAAAAGAATAAAACATAATGATTCTTATAACTTTCTATTGCAATAAAGGGACACACAATGACCTTCTGATGGAAAAAGAATCAAACATTATTAATCAATACCTTTAACTTTCAGTAAAAATCAGTTTAATGTATTTCTCCCATAATTCACAAAAAAAAAAAAAAAAAAAAAAAGGCTTCAGCCCACCTGTACAATGTTGGCCTCTGTGATGGCCTTCTTGGGGTCCACTCTGATGAAGAACAGACAGGTGCCATGTAAAGGGGTGCTCTTAGCGTCTGCCACAAACACTTTGGGTTTGGACGCCTTCTTGGTCGGCTGCCCTGGGGGGCCCAACCGCATGTGGTCAACTGTTATAATAATAATAATAATAATAATAATAATAATAATAATAATAATAATAATAATAATAATAATAATTCCATATTATATTTTTGATGAGAATGCCCTTTCAGTTAATTCTATTAATCCACTATGTCATAGCATAGACTGGAGCTGATGTATATTTGACATGGCTTTTTTTCTACTGACATGCTAGTTTTGAATTTTGAAACAGTTTGATTTAAATAATTCTACAACAATTTATGGCTATTAAATAATATCAACATTTAAGTATCTTTATATAAATATACAGCCAAAAGCAATAAACAAAATTATATTTTTACCAGAGTTTTTACCAAATACCTAGAAATATTGTATTATAATCCCAATCTTAAAATGAACCATTTGCTGTATATTTGTAAAAACATGGGAAAATGTCACACAAAGTAAGAGTGACAAGATTTCAGATCTCCCATTTACGTTCCCACAAGGTGGTAATATAAACACATGTACATTAACAATACAGATTAGATTTTAATACACAGTCACAAACTAATAAAGGATCTACTAGTATTCATAATAAAACAGAAACATCCCCTTCAAAAGAACAGTAATTCTATCTAAAATGGTAAACATGTTTATTTGACCAGTGCTTTAAGAACAGAGTCGCCATGGCAGGTCAGCACTGAAAAAAATCAGGACAGCTATTGGCTGAAGCCAGTTTAGGTGAAGGTAAGGAGGAAGCATGGCTTTAAAAGCAAAGCATAGATAAAACTTGGTAAAAAATGTAGAAAAGTTAAGAAATTAAGAAAATGAACACTAAGTATGCAATGTAATGTGTTTGATAACATCTCTGAACATAATTTTGTTATAATACTGTGTAATACTGGTACATACAATTATTTAGTATCAGATGTTAGCATTTTGCATATGCTTAAAAGCAAAACAAACCCAGTCACTAAAGAGATAAATTTTTAGAAATTTTCAGGAAAATTTCAAAAGCTGATTAAATATTTATATAGAGGGTTTATAGTCAGCTTCCACAGCTACAAGCACAGAATTTACAGAAACATTTAACTGAATAAGAAATAATACAGATGCTTCAAACATCTCAATCCTACAAATTGAAAAAATGGTTATATAATAATTCTAATTTATGTTAGTTTAACAGTGAAGAAAATGCAAGCAAGGAAATATTGATTCTTGGCCTACTTGCGCCTGACTTGCGCCGAGATTCCTCTTTTGGTAGCTGAAAATCCACAGTCACTTGCAGGAAGAGAAGACAGAAAAAATAAACGTAAATGTTCAACTCTAAAACGTCAGTATTCAAACAATGCATGCAAATTCACTGTTAAATGTTATCAAACAAACTGCTTTTTTAAATGTACTAAAAATAAACATGTGCAAAGGAATAATTCGCACCCTTAACCAAAAAGGCAAAGTAGAAAAGATGCATGCAAAACTCAAAACTAAGCAATTAAACACAAATCATGCAATTTATGTTATTTCATAAATAAATAAATACTGTGCCCTCAAAAGCTCATTAATGTGTGGTTAATATTTCAAAAAAGTGACCAAATGTTGAATACAAAGATAGATTTTCATCTTGAAATCATCCGTGGTTGAAAACACAATGATGAATCTTCTCCATTCTGAACATTAAATATAAATTTAAATAGAACCATCTGCCCCTAAGCAACCTGTCACTTTTTTTTTGCCCACCTTCACCAAAAATTTTAAGGCTGCAGACAGAGACTTGAAGACTGTGTGGAAGCAAGTGCTCTTGAGAAAAAGCCAATTGCTAAAGCTTCAAAAAACATCTTAGTCCATTCAGTACCAAAAAAAATCAAACCCTTAAAAACATTAAATAACTGAGTTAAACTAAAACCCAGTTATCAGTGCAGGGCTAGAGTGTACTGTAGAACAAGTTAATCCTTGTTGCCACTATCAATGTTTGCTCTTCGGACTATAAGCTCCTTGAATTTTTAATTAAAATGGAGATTGGGTATTGAGCACTGTTAAAGGTGGGGGACAATCCCTTTGAGTAAACTTGCCCTCGGCTTTTGATTAACTATCCAACAACTGAAAAAACTGTTTCTCACTTTTACTTCCTTTGACTGCAATTTCTTTCAAAAACACACAAAAAGTCAAATGAAATCATACTAGTACTTTTTTTCTGCTATATTGTTATGTTTCTATATTTTTTCTGCATTCTTCCTCATCACTAATGGCTATATTTTTCACAGAGTGCATGAGGATAAGTTTCTAACTGCTTACAAAATTCAGTTTCAGCAATCATTGCTATCGTGATGCAATTCTAATTCAAATTGTCCTATATCCAAAACAACCTGATGTTGTCCCCTGGATTAAAAAATACTGGGCATTTAGCCTGAAAAAAGTAAGCGTTACGGACACTGCGAAATACTAACGATAGTATTTAACTAGCATAACTAGCCACCAGAGGGAGCCATGTACTAGTACCACCACCGCCATTTTGGGATCTACGTCTTTCATATCAGACAATGATGTGAATGTGACTAATGTGTGGTAGATAGAAACCTTCACCCAAGATATGTGCTTAATTTTATCCTGAAAATCCTGAAAATAAAACTGTCAAGAAATTGTTACACATTTTTGTTCTGTTCTTACCTCCATCTTTCTCAAGGTCAGGTTCTTGGTAGAAAAATGTCAGATGATTTGTGCCATCTGCACAGAAGAAATCATCCATCATTTCAATCTGGAAATGGAAAGAAAAATATTGAAAAGGTTGAGGAGAAAGTTCAACCTTTTTTCATCAGTCAACTATTGACACCTTTCTTGGTTGAAATTAACTTTTTTTTCTCTGAGCTTTCCAAATGAACTGATAAGCAAATGGCAATAATCAATGTATTAATCAATATATAATCTTGATTTAGTATAATACTTATAATAACATGAAAAATAATCTGTCAATGACAAAAAATATTTTTCTGAAAAAAAAAATAAATAAAAAAAATAAATAAATAAATCTAGCGGTTAACTGACCTGTTTCCCCTCCAGAATGGCGTCCTCCACCTCATTCCTCTCAAGTCCCAGGCGGTCAGCCACAGTGACCAGCATGTAGTAATGGCGGTCATCTAGCTTGGCTCGTCTTGCCTCGCGCTCCTCCTTTAGTCTTTGCTGTAATGGTGAGAGAGAAATGTTCTATATAGATTGATAATTTGATTGGTTTTGTGGAAGTGACAGAAAGTACTGTTAATTAATGGAGAATATCATGGAGCCTTGAACTGTATGGCAGGACTGAGATGAAATGAAGAAAATGTGTCGTAAGATGGGCTAGTGGTATGAAGCTGCCTTCTGTGAGTGTCCCCGTTTTCTCTCTGCTGTCAGTAGACCTGGAAACCATGTTATTAGTATATGTATGACATGGCTTATCTTCCACATAGTTTTTTATTACTACCCTACAACTATTTTTCCTCTAAACTCAACTACAACAGTGAAAAGTAAAATAAAAAGTTTCACACTGGATCAGATTGACACAGTATGTTATGTAAATAAATAAATAAATAAATAAATAAATAAATAAATAAATAAATAAACATAAGTCATTTCTCTCACCTGAAAAGAAGTAACACATATCACAGAGGAAGATTTTCTCTGCTTAGAGTCCATGAATATCTCCTCTAAATCAGAACCTAGAGCACTTTCACAATGATACACGTATCTCCAAGTATAACATGTATATGCTAGACACCAAAGTCTAAAGGGAGCTACGTCAATTTGCAGTGTTAATTAATTTTTTAATGGATAAATCACTTCCAATTATGTTTTACAACTCACAGGTAATTCCTTACTATAACATCCTAAAAACTGTACTGTATCTGAATAAATTAAAATCTAATCAAAAATGAAGGAGAGACATAAAGACTTAAGACTGATAATACTCCCATTTACTTCATCAGGTACTAAATAAATATTTTACCAGAACTAAGCTTTACAAGTGACAGGGGGAAGACCCATTTACCAATCTGAAGAATGTATTCTTAAATAAAACAAACCCCCTAACTTTATTTTTGTTTTAAATTCATATGTCCTGCCCCATTGTATAACTTTCGTATTGTTAAAATAATAATAATAATAATAATAATAATAATAATAATAAATCTAATTGTTTGATAAAAAGAGGATGAATAACAACATGTAAGCCACACATTGAAGTACAGTATACAAAACAGCTGATGAAAAATTCAATGACTAGCCCATATGACTTATAATGGAGCCTATGTAATGCCCCTCTAAGAATAAATTAGTACCCGGAGCATTTAACGTCACATTAAGTATTGTTGAGGTTATAAGGGTACGAGGAACAGCGTGAACGGTCAACACATTACACTTCAACTCTGCCCCTCGGCTCACAGAGTCAAGTGATAACGAGATTGTATATATCACCCTTCTGAGTGGACGACCATTTTATATTAGATTAATCTGCTTTTCATGTTAGAAACAACTATTGTTGTCACGCACTTAATCCTGGTTACCAAGATTGAAAAAATCAATTGCCCATGTTTATAGGGACGTGAATTGAGAAAGTTAATCTCTACTTGAAGTGTCAAAATTGCAGCTTTAGCTTCAAAGTGAGTACGGAAATTAATAAGGAGCTTACTCGTAAATTGACACTTGTGACAAGGAGTTCAAAAGAAATGGTTATTAGATGTGTGATAGGGGAATAAAGGATCCTGAATGGGAGTCAGTGTAGCCATATTCCGCTCACTATTACTGCTGATAAGCGCGTCAAATGAAATGACGAAATGAACACTCATGCCTCTCGTTGTATTTGGAGGTGCAATTATGTATCTGTCTTCTGGAACACTTTCTAGGGACACAACTGTTGTTTTTCAAAATAAGGAATCAAAAGGGATCCCATTTTGGGAGTAATGTAATAACCATAATAAAAGTGAAATATAAGGTACAACTGTAAGAATAAAATGCAGTTTACAGATATTGTGATTTTTAAAATTTATAAGTAAACACAATTTAAGCAACTATGGAGATTAACCCTAATTTTTCATTTCTGAGATGTTCTTAGCACATCACTTGATATAACCAATAAAAAATTATAAGAGTATACATAATTGTCAAATATATCAAAAGACTTACTTTGTATTCAGAAATTTCCCGTTTGGTTATCACAGATGAAGATATCATTCTGATTCTGCAAATTTTAGATGACTGTAAAAGGTCTTAAATTCCTTATCATCTTTAAAGAGAAAACCTCTCAACTTTTAAAACTTCCCTTCTTCTTTGCATGGACTAGCTAAAAAGCAATGATCTTGTTTCTCAATAAGTCCACAATTCAAAATTACTTCTTTTACTCTAGAAATAAAATTCCATCCCAATCCGGAAAACATAGAGAGTAATGAATTTGCTTCCAAACTGCTTCTTATAGGTTTCTCTTTTAAATCTCTAATTTCAGCTTGAAAATGGCAAAATGTCAAATCCCACGGAAGGTCCTAGTGCTCTGGTATGAATTCCACAAAAGTTCTAATGATGTGACACTTTTCACAAACACTTCCAAGCTGTAATCTCCAACATTTAAAAACAAGCCTCACAACTAGAGATATCGCCAGTCATAAACAAATATCCCACAATCCTCGGAAACTACTGCACATTATTCCTCAACGGACACGCTAATTAGCCCTATGAAGTAAATCCCACACTACATATCTGGATCACATAAACTCAGTCAGCAGAAGTTTGGGCTGCTGTAACTTGGCAATCACTTAAGTCGTCATTAAACAATCTAATCCCCTGTTTGCCCTCATCTCACCGCAATCAATCCTCAATCATCCCGTCCAATCAAAATGACCGCTGACACCAGAGACTCGAGGAGATTAGACAGTGTCACTGCAGGTGACACTGGCGACCTCTAGTGGGAGTAAGTTTAAAATGAACAGTACCACACAAAGTATGCATTACTGTAATTCAATTTCAATTTATATTTCTGTACATTAATGAGATAATATGTAACCATACCTTCGGGCTTCCCATTACTGTGATTTCCAAGGAGATGTGATCATATTGTTATCATATCAAGATTCAAAATAAAACAGATACAATGTACTATAAAAACTCCCATGATACCTGAGGAGATCATGACTAAAACATTGGCACATGGACCAATCATGATGGGTGAAAGGTCGATAGAACTTTTTTTTCAAACTGGGCTTACTCTAGGTTTATAAATATTTAGTTAAATGCTAAATATTCACCACTTTGGTTTTAAAATGTAAAATATGTCTATTTTTAGCCCAACATCCATGACTGATTTGGTTCAAAATTTTAATTTCTGCAATTTATCTATAACTCTTTCAGAGTCGTATCAAAAACTCTCTACAGTAACAGATGCACAGCTAATTTAAGTCACCAGCAATAAAAACAATATGTTGTTGGAAAAAGTAGCAAAATTTTCAAAACACAAAACATTATCAAAAGACAAAATAAACAGCATGTTCCGTCAAATCCAATATCTTGAAATAAAAAAGTAATTATGAAAACTTTAATCGTATAGAAAGGATGAAAATGGTTAACATTAGATCAATCTTCTTTAATTTCCTCTCAAGTTGATCAATGCTACAGTGCCTTTGTAGCCACAATAAAACTTTGTCGATAAGCAGACGTCTTTTTTCCTCACATGACAAGGTACTAGTCTTCATAATTGAGCATATCCAACTCTGCCATTTTGTAATTATATGGTTGTATTGATTGGGAACAAGAGGAGAAAAGTGCCACTTTGTGGAGGGAATCAATAATTCAATTTCATATATTATATCATATTATTTCAAGCAAACATTGAATACTGGGACCAAAAAAATCTGAACATCCCCCATTAACTTTAAACAGAAGGTTACCAATGTAAACAAGTGCATACAGATAATTTAGTATTCACTCGTGAAAAGGGGCAACCATACACGTTTTATGGTGTGTTTTCTGAACATTTTTTTCTAATCTTATTCTGCATAAAGCACAGTAACAAAGTAACAACAAATTTTTTCACAGATTCAAAAAAACAACTTATTGCTAACAATACTTATTTCAGCATCAACATATCAATTATAGTTCTCAACTGTTATGAGCAAATTTAAGCTACTTTTTACACATCACTAAAACAAACACAACTTTCAGGTCCTAGTTGTTCAGAATATGTCACTTAATTTCAAAAGTTCAATGATTCAGCAAAAAATAATTTTCCACGAGGAACTGCTTGACAGGCAAAGGAGACCATGCTGACATTCAAATCTTACCTTTTCTAATTCAGATTTTTTCAAGTTCCCCCCTGGGATGGCCATGTTAGTGCTGGTGTTGCTATCCAAAACCAATCAGCAGATTACACTAATGATAATTATTTCCTGGTTGACTGTTTGTTATCACCAAGGACAATATTGCACTCAAATCTGTGCCATTTTACATGACAGCATTGTCATAATTCCTATTTCCTTCAATCAGTTTAGACACAATATAACTGCTTTCAACGTTGGTCTCCCTGAGATAAAAGCTCTTTTAGACTCCCTGGTTTGATGTGTTTGCACTCTGAGATTAAAAAATTCCCTCAAATCCTAGAATCTCAGCCATGAATTATCAAGATCTGCTTTGCTGTGGTATTTCTTCAAATGCCCTGAGCACATACAATGATATTAAAATGTCTGAAAACTATATAATGCAGAGAGGCTTTTCTTCTTGGTATTTTTGTTGTTCATTCCAGCATATGGTAGCGTAGCACCGGTCTTGACAGAAATCTTTACAGTCAACACTTTAAGTCCGCTTCTTTAAACAATAACCTATTTAATGTAGGCGTTCTTCACACTACCTTCCACTAATGATAAAACCTTGTCAAGGTAAGTCGATTCGCAGTTTTCTATTGTTCTGGTGCTTGAGAACTCAGTTTTCTATTCAAAACTGTGTTTGAGTGCGTTTCCTTACAAGAGAATTGAATGTGACTTTTAAGTAGACTTTTTGATGTAAGATGACAAAACTAAATTGGTTTTTGACGTATAGAATAAAAGACAATAATTTAAAACTGCTTCCACTTCGATATTTCTTTTTATCACTGTCAACTCTTTTCCAATAATAATATCCCAGTGATGGTCAAATTTCTCCAGCAACGCAACATGAGATTTTCAAAT